CTTTCTAATGCGTAATTTTTCGAGAATAAAGCTCCAGCAGACTTGAAAAGTGAATTTAGTACGGACACGCACCACAAATTGTGCAGAAATCTTGATTTTGCTATGTAATTTGGATCCACTTCTTCAGAGAGCGATAGTGCGCGAGAGCATTTTAGCGTTACAGCCAAAAGGCCGGCATGTCCGCTCTCGGATCCTCTCTGAGCTGCAGTCCGATTTACACTTGCAGCGCTTGTGATCATCATTTGTCTTTATTTAATATATATTCGATTAACGACAAGGATGAAAGTATTTCAAAAGCATTGTGAGCATGAATCGGACCGCAACCCTGGTTATACTGTGGTCCACCGACGAGATACTCTTAAAGACCGACACCCTTACGGGACTTAGCGTGGCATGTTTAGTAATTGCTAAAATTTGAGCAATTAGTCAATAATATAACATTAATTTTATGATTTATTAATAAATTAATGTTTTTTTAACATGTACATTGTAATTCATATGTATTATATCTTGCTAATAGTTAATTTTATTTAAAACTGCATTTTTATAGTTACCACACGAGTTTGATTATCCCGAGAGATGGTAAAACAGTTGGAAAAAAAATGTAATTTTGCGGCAATATATTTGATATTATAGCATTATAAGTATTCATACTTATTTATAATGCATTTATATAATAAAAATTATGATCTTAAGGGGATCCTAAACCCGAGATCAAACTCCAAAAATTCGCTGTTTTATCGACGATTTGTGAGAATGTATACGTGCAATATTGACGTAGTAGTGTGTAGTGATGTGTTCATGTTTACTACCGATATCGATGTTTACTATTGATATCTCACGCACACATCGTAACAAATTTTCAAGAACATGTATCTTTTTTATTAGGCATCCAAGCCTAATTTTATGAACTCAACATTGTTTGCACATGTAATTTGTAGTTCCGGCTGGTATCATTTTGTATGTACCAACAAACTGCCAAATTGTTGTACGAAGCAAATATTCATTTAAAAAAACTGCTTTTTTCAAATTGCTGGAAAAAACCAGAAAAATTTCGGTTTTTTCCGAAAAATTAGTTTTTGCGAAAAATTGCTGTATAAACAATGTA